GCCAACGACCCACCACACGCCCGACGACTCACCACGAGCCCAACGACTCACCACAAGACCAACGACTCACCACGAGCCCTACGACTCACCACAAGCCCTACGACTCACCACGAGCCCTCCGACTCACCACGGGCCCTACAACTCACCATAAGCCTTACGACTCACCACAAGCCAGGGGCCTCACCAGAAGTCCTGCGACTCACCACAAGCCCAACGACTCACCACCAGCCCAACGACTCACCACGAGGCCAACGACCCACCACAAGCCCCCCTACACACCACAAACCCAACGCCTCACCACAAGCCCTACAACTCACCACAGGCCCTACCCCTCACCACAACCCCAACGCCTCACCAAAAGCCCTACGACACAAGCCCAACGACTCACCACGAGCCCAACGACTCACCACGGGCCTTACAACTCACCACGAGCCCAACGACTCACCACAAGCCCTACAACTCACCACGGGCCCTACTACTCACCAAAAGCCATACAACTCACCACATGCCCAACGACTCACCTCGAGCCCAACGACTCACCACAAGCCCTACAACTCACCACAAGCACAACGACTCACCACAAGCCCTACAACTCACCACACGTCCAACGACTCACCACGAGCCCAACGACTCACCACGAGCCCAACGACTCACCAGGAGCCCAACGACTCACCACAAGCCCAACGCCTCACCAAAAGCCCTACGACTCACCACAAGCCCAACGACTCACCACAAGCCCAACGACTCACCACGGGCCCTACTACTCACCACGAGCCCAACGCCTCACCACATGTCTGGGGCACTCGAAGCATGTGTTGTGAGGTTGTTTCCATTCCACAAGTGGTTCTCAAGTAAAGAGTCAAAGCGTGTCGAACACACATGTGCATGCACTGGCTATCACTTTTATGCCTTGTATGTGCGCTTACTTATCTCGCTGGATGTTTGAGCACTGCAAGCGTGGGCAGGAGGTTGTTTCAGAAGACAAGTAGTTTTCAACTAATAAGATTGTAGTCTAAGCGTGTCTAATACACATGTGCATGCACTGGCTGTCAATCGAATGAATACGCATAAATCCCGCAACACCATCGCATTCAAAGTCGATCACTTCGGGCATCGGACTGTAGTCGTTGAACCACAACACGTCGTCCCTTCCACATCCCGTGTAATACCCCCCCGATGATGGCTCTGGGTACAGGGAGGCAATCACAACGTATATCAGCCACGGAAGCACGACCTGGTCACTAGTGTCCTCTCCCAACAAATCTGAATACCCCACGTAACATCGGAAACGGTGGTTCTTAGGCTCTACCTCCACGTCGTCCACACCCACATCTAGGTTTGCGCCACACGCAACTCGTACCACATTCTCCACTGTACGTTGGGTTGCAAAACGACCTACAGTATCTTCAGAGGGGAAGGATAACCAGCTGGCCGCCCACTTCTGCAAGACATCATACTGTTTTGGGACACGCCTAGCAAATTCATTGATCGTCCAGCAGAACGCAGGATTCACAATGATTGGGGGCAGGCCGGAGCGTTCCCGGACCCGTCGAGTCATCCTCGGCGCTGGTCTGCTCGAAACACTGCTCGTAGACTCAACCACTTCCAATGAATTAGGAGCACTCTCCCGCTGCATCTCTTCCTCGGTCTCCTCACTATCATCCTGGTACGCCATGCGTACCCCTTCCGGCCGGCGACGCATGAGAGCTCGACATCGCGGCCTGCTCAAAATAGTGACAAGGATGAATGAGCATGGGGTAACAAGATAACTAGCAATCAGCGATGTTTCCAAAGGGAGCAGGTGCTGCAGGCGTAGTAATGGGAAATAGGAATGGCTTACCTAACAGGCTCCCTAGTACGGACGCGCTTAGCTGTGCCCCTGCCCGTCCCTGGTCGGTGCGACATTTGCACCCTGCCCTCACACTGATGGCAGGAGGGATTGGTAGACTAGTTTGAAAGGGTGGGGAAGGGCGACGAGCATGGAGAGGGTGGCTGAGCGCTCTGTGTGCCAAATCTTGCAGTGCAACAGGACAAAGAATGGGGCACGGACAATGTGCGGCAGTTGGGAGACAACGTTGCTGCAACATGGGGACATGCTAATACATGGAGTGGGTGCAGACGCGGACAGACAGCGGTCATATAATAAGACGGTAGAACTCACATTTATCTGTGATGCGTGGGAATACGGGCTTGACAACCCAGGGTTGGAACAGGGGGGCGAGGGGGCACGACGAGCACGGAAATGAAAGAGCGTGGGATCGGGGACAGGACGGGGTGCAACACGAGGGTGGGACAGGGGTAACAGATCGTTGAGAGGAGGGAGGGAAGGGAGGGAGGGGAGTGCAAGGGGTCGAGGGAGGGCAAGGAGGGGAGAGAGGGCTTTGAAGGGATAGAGGGCTGGGAGCCAAAGTGGGGGAGGAGAGGTTTCGGAGTAGCATTTGTGACTGGTGGAGGGTTGAGAAAAGGAAGGCGGAGGGGGGAGTAAGGCAGTGTGGGGCGTGAGGGAAGTCGGAGCGGAGAGGATCAGGAGACGAGAGAAGGTCTAGGGAGGGGAGGGGCGCGGAGAGTGTTGGTGTGATGCACCTGGTTCGTCTATGCGAGTGTTGATGTTACACCCCCAGGAGTGGCGCGGCGGCGGCGAGTGTCGCGGATTGGAGACTTTGAGCAGAGAGGTGCAGAGGAGCCGATGCGTAGGGCGCTGTGTTGGCGAGGGGAATTAGAACGAGGAGGGGAGATCGGACAGAGAGAGGAGAGGGAGCAGATGGAGTTTGAAAGAGAGAATGGTAATATGGAGAAGGTGATTTAGGCGCGAGTGGACAGTCGACATCGTAGCACGAGAGGGCAAGGGGTGGAGCATGGAGGTAGCTGCGTGAGAGGGCACATGGAGCGATAGGGGGAAGAAGGGTGTAGACAATTGAGGGAAGTGGGAAAGCAGGGATTATGGCATGGAGTGAAGTTACGAGGGAAACCCGGTAGTATGGAAGCGAGGCCACAGGGGGGAAGTAGGGGGAAGGGCAGAAACGGGAAAAGGGTAGTTAGGGTGTGGAAAGGGGGAATAGGGGTGTAGGGTAGTGATGGAAACTGTGTTTCTTAGGACGTTAGGTGGAGACTGCACTATGCATGAAGCAGGGTGTAAGGTGGAGCGGTGAAAGGGCGAATAAGAGTAAGGCATAGAGAGTGGTGAGGCGGAAGCAAGGAGTAGGGAAGAGTGGGGAAGGGGGAAGGCGGGTGGTATACAGAGGGGAAAAGGGGGATGAAGGGCGTAAGGCAGAGAGGGTGGAAAGGCAGAAGAAGGGGGTATGGCTGAGTGGGTAATATGGGAAGGAGGACGTAGGTCAGAGGCTAACGGGGGAAGAAGGGCGTAATACGATGAGAGGGGAAAGGGGGTTGACGGGTGTAAGGCAGAGAGGGGTGAGGGGGAAGAAGGGTGTAGGGACGAGAGGGAAAAGGAGGAAGGAGGGTGTATGGCACCGTGGGTGGAAACTTGAATGGAGGGGGTAATGCAGTGTCGGTAGAAGAAGATGAAGGGGGTAGCAGCGGGAAGCAGGGCGTTAGGCAGAGAACTCATGGTGCAATAAGAAAGTGTAAGGAGAGAGGGGGAAGGGAGAAGAAGGGCGTAAGGACGAGAGGGGGAAAGGGGAAGAAGGGTGTTCGGAAGAGAGGGAAATGGGGGAAGCTGCGCCTAAGGCACCGGGGATGGTAAGGAGGTAGATAGGGGTAAGGCAGAGTGGAGATAGGGGGAAAAAGAGTGCAAGGCAGAGAGCTGGAAGTTGGAAGTGAGGCGATGGGGGGAGGACGGGCGAATGGCGGAGAAGGGAAATAGGTTTCATAGGGTGTATGGAAGTGAGGAAAAAGGGGGATGCACGGTGTGTGGGGCTGAACGCATGGTGGGGGAAGTGGGGTGTAAGGAGGCAGGGGAATGGGGGAGTCAGAGAGAAAGGCAGAGAGGGGACGGTGGGGAAGAAGAGTGTAGGGAAGAAAGAGCGGTTGACGGTGAGGGGATAGGGGGAAGCAGGGGGTAAGCTAGAGAGGGGGGAATAGGGTGTGTGGCACCGAAGACGGGCGAAAGGGGACAAAGGGTGTTGCGTACAGAGGGCGCGTCATGGGGGCGGGGTCAAGGAGAGTCGGGGGAATAGCAGAGGGGAGGAAGGGACAGACCTGGATAGTCCCGTGGGGAGGATGGGGGGTAGATGGGTATAGCCGGGGGGAGTACGATTGCTAGAGGTGGGTATCAGAGGGTAGTAAGTGTGAGAGAGGGGGATAGCCAGGCGGAGCAAGGGAGAGAAAGGGGTATACCCATGGGGACTTGGGGACACAAACGGGGTATAAGTGAGGTTAGCATTGAGGAGCGTGGGGTATAGCCGAGGGGAGTAAGGGACCGAAAGGGGTGTAGCAGAGTGGAATGAGGTAGATGGGGGGCTATTTGGGAGGGGGCTAAGGGAAGAAGGGGAAGACGGGGTGCTAAGCAGATATAAGAGTTGGGGAATAAGGATGGCGGGGAGGGGAAGTGAGGGAGAGGGGGACAAAAGAACACGGAAGAGTGGTGTAAGGGGGAAAGGGAGTAGGGAAGAGAGGGAACGGGGGGAATGAGGGCGCAAGGCAGATCGATGAGAGTTTGAATGTAGGCTGTAATGGCAGGGAGAGGAAGGGGTGAAGACGGTTGAAAGGTGGAGAAGGGAAGGGCAGGAGACGGGTAAAAGGCAGTATACCTGGGGAAGGGGGAGGTATGAAGCAAGGGAGAAAGGTGCAAAGGGTATGTAACGCAGAGAATAGGGGAAGATTGAGACGCGGCAAGGTGGGAAGGGAGACGCGGTCAGAGGGGAGGGGAGTGGTGTGGCCGCAGCGGTGAGTGCGAGGGGCTGTAGAGCATATGGAACAGGCCCCCGACAAGACCCCTCTCACATACCAAAGCAGGTTGTGTGGGGGGACGTTTGAACCCCTTCGCACAACCGCGCCTTAGCAGCTGAATCCCTCCTCTCGCCGCCGATCTGTGTCGCTGCTCATACACACGTCGACGCGAGCCGCTGATTGCTATCTTCCACCCTGTCGTGAGGGGAAGCAGGGGGGAGAAGGAGGGGAAGCAGGGGGGAGAAGGAGGGGAAGCAGGGGGGAGAAGGAGGGGAAGCAGGGGGGAGAAGGAGGGGAAGCAGGGGGGAGAAGGAGGGGAAGCAGGGGGGAGAAGGAGGGGAAGCAGGGGGGAGAAGGAGGGGAAGCAGGGGGGAGAAGGAGGGGAAGTAGGGGGGAGAAGGAGGGGAAGCAGGGGGGAGAAGGAGGGGAAGCAGGGGGGAGAAGGAGGGGAAGCAGGGGGGAGAAGGAGGGGAAGCAGGGGGGAGAAGGAGGGGAAGCAGGGGGGAGAAGGAGGGGAAGTAGGGGGGAGAAGGAGGGGAAGCAGGGGGGAGAAGGAGGGGAAGCAGGGGGGAGAAGGAGGGGAAGCAGGGGGGAGAAGGAGGGGAAGCAGGGGGGAGAAGGAGGGGAAGCAGGGGGGAGAAGGAGGGGAAGCAGGGGGGAGAAGGAGGGGAAGCAGGGGGGAGAAGGAGGGGAAGCAGGGGGGAGAAGGAGGGGAAGCAGGGGGGAGAAGGAGGGGAAGCAGGGGGGGGAAGGAGGGGAAGCAGGGGGGAGAAGGAGGGGAAGCAGGGGGGAGAAGGAGGGGAAGCAGGGGGGAGAAGGAGGGGAAGCAGGGGGGAGAAGGAGGGGAAGCAGGGGGGAGAAGGAGGGGAAGCAGGGGGGAGCAGGGGGGAGAAGGAGGGGAAGCAGGGGGGAGAAGGAGGGGAAGCAGGGGGAGAAGGAGGGGAAGCAAGGGGGAGAAGAAGGAATACAGTCAATGGGTATGCAGGGGAGAAGAAAGAAAGAGAGGGGGGGAAACAACGGGTAAGCAGGGGGAGTAGAATGAGTGGCAGCGGTGTAAACAATGGCTAAGACGACCAAGGCACCACGTTTCTGTCTACCCCCTCCGCTTTCCTTGATGCTAGGTAAATTGGTTATTGGCAATGGGAGGGATGGGATTGATGTTTAAGAGAGATGGCAAAGGGGGAACCAGCAGGTAGGGAAAGGGGGGAGCAGGGAGCTCGGGGACAGGGCATGGCGGAGCAGGGAAGCCTTGGGGACAGGGAATGGGGGAGCAGGGGATGGGGGATCAGGGAATGTGGGAGCAGGGAATGCTGGAACGGGGAATGGGGGGACGGGGACTAGGGGGACTGGGAATCGGGGGACAGGGAACGGGGGAGCGGGGAATGTGGGAACAGGGAATGGGGGAGCGGGGAATTGGGGAACAGGGAATGGGGGAATAGGGCATGGGGGGACAAGGAATTGTTGTGGTAAGGGCATCGGGGGACAGGAAACTTGGGAGCGGGGAATGGGGGAATAGGGAATGGGGGAGCGGGGAATGGGGGAACATGGGATGGGGGAGCGGGGAATGGGGGTGAGGGAATGGCGGAGCGGGGAATTCTGTCTTAGGGAATGCACATTGGGAATAGGGAGCAGGGACTGGGGGAGCAGGGAATGGGGGAGCAGGGAATGGGGGAGCAGGGAATGAGGGAACGGGGAACGGGGGGACGGGGATTGGGGGAGCAACACATGGGGGGAAAGTGAATTGGGGAGCAGGGTGTGGGGGAGCAGGGAATGAATCTCAGGGAATGGGGGAGCAGGGAATGGGGGAGCAGGGAATGGGGGAGCAGGGAATGTTCGAACGGGGAAGGGGGGAACCGGGAATGGGCCGCGCATGCTGCCCGTCAGACAGTGGCGGGCATCATTCCGTGCGCCTGCTGCCCGTCAGGCAGGGATGTCCCTCATTTCACGCGGTTGGGTGCTCGTCACTGTCGGACAGCCGCATTGGGCAGGGCTCGCGTATCCTGGCCGTCGGACAGTGACGTCTGTCGGCCGTTTTTCACATAGCGCGCGAATGCCGCCTGTCAGACAGACGCATTACGAATTTCGCGCCTATTCATCCGTCAGAAAATGACGGGCTGCATTTCGCGCATCTGCTGACCGTCTGACGTCTCGCGGACAGCATGTCGCGTCTGTGCTGCCCGTGAGACATGTCTAAAGCGGTGAGGGCGCGTACCTTGAGGCGCCCGCTGCTGGGGGAGCGGGGAATGGGGGATCACGGAATGGGGCAGCAGGCCATGGGGGAAGGAGGAATGTGCGACATCGTCCACACCCTCAGCACGCTACCTCGCGGTTTCACTAAGAACGATACGGCCTGAAACTCATGGGCGTGCAGGCCGTCTGAACCCTAGTCATCACCATGGCGTGTTTCGCGGTTACCTGCGTTCCGCGGGATCGCTACCTGCTTAGTCGGCGGTTTCGATTTCGGTGCGCGAGGGTCGGAGGGAAGCGCGACGACTTGCGAGACTCCGAGGTGCGTGGGCAGGCGTGTTTGGCGATCTCCCTGACTGGTTTCTAAGCGCTTGTATTCAAGAGCGTACGTTTCGCGCATGAAGCGTTACGGCCAGGGCGATCGCACCGAGACACGCAGCGCGGGACGCCCACAACGGCGGCGATCGTCGCGATTGCGAAACGCGAGAGGAGTGGGGATCGAAGGGGACGAGACAGCTGAGAAACGCGGATATACGCCCTGCATGGTTTCTCAATAGAGGTGATGTGCACTCAAGGTCGAACTACAGAGTGTCCTACGGAATGTCTAAAGTGTGTCTGGAATAGGCAGAATCTATCCAGGCTCGGACCTGGGGCTACGTTCACGCTAAAGCCGGCCACGGAGCTTCTTTGTTCTCTCAGCTAACGAAGGGAACTAGCGGGCCCGGAAAGGGTCGTGTAACCCAAGTCCAGCTTGAAATTCGAGTGGACCCAACTTGAAAGACCGCGCAGTCCATTGACGCTCGTGCCCGGGATTGTGACCCTGTTCACACGTAGATTGGTTTCCAGCGTTCCGTGAGTGACTGCATAGCCGGTTTGCGAGCGACGTTTGTCAGTTGCCGCAACCAATTGCAAACCTCTGCTCTGACTTCCTCAATCGCTGGCCAATCATGTTGCTAAACAAGCTTGTTTCTCCCGTCAGATATGTCAGACCTAACAGTAAGTTTCCCCCCATTCCCGTGAGTGACCCATGCGGCCATTTCAAGCTGGGCCGGGGGTCACAATTTTGCAGTCTCGTTTAAAATTTTATAATTTTTAAACACATTGATGTTTTCAAAATTGTGTATTGTGAAAGCGAAGCTGCCTGTACCGAATATTTGGCAGCGTCGAAGCGCGCTAAACGCCCTTCTCCAACTACAAAAACCGTGGGTTGGAGTTCATTCCCTCCACCCACGTTTCTCGTTTTTCAACGGCTCAATCAACATTTCCGTTCGAGTAGTTCTTTTCCCCGTCCAAGCTGGCTAGAACTCGCACCCTCCCCAGAGGCGAGTCACCCTCAACACTTCTGCAAGACATTTTCAACCACAACCGCTCTACAATGGCGTCTACGCCGGCACTTAACCGCGGCAATTCGTCTGCGCCGAGTTCCGACACCGACCGTAACGCCCGAGAAATGACGGGCGATCGCCGTAACAAGCGCCGGGCAGAGGAAGGATCGCCCGCCCCAACCGCCGTGGACGTGCTGTTGGGCGGGCTCGAGGTCAACAAAAACTCGAGCCCGCCCCAGCAGCAGCACCCCTCGGCCCCTGTGGCGCCTGTGGCGCCTGTGGCGCCTGAGGCGCGTGTGGCGCATGTGGCGACGGCGGCACCTGCAGCACCTGTGGCGCCACACGCGCCTGACGCGGAGCACACGCCGGCGCCTGTGGCTGGACCGTCGCGTCAGCGCCAGAGGCGCCGAACAGCGACTTCTTCTGACGCGACGACCCCGGCGTTGACCAACGCGTTGACTCCGGACCAGGTCGCCGCGCTTCTGTCCCTGTTACAGCAACACCCGGCCAGCGTTACAGCTACGGAAATTGCACAACCCGCGGCCTCTGCATCTGCTAAAAAGGAAAACGCAAAAAGAGAAAAAGGAGCGCGAGGAACAACGGCGAACCGGCACGACAAGGAAGCACCGGCCAGCATCCCACCTGCGCCAGTGGCCGACAACGACACCGACGGCTCCGACGACGATGATGGTGAGGCTCCGGTCCATACCAAAAATTTTAATTCCATGGAGCATCTTCCCCCCCTCCCCTCTACTACTAACACCACTTGGTCGGCGGCGACGTTCAACGACGCGCACGTGCGGGCGAAAGCGGAAATTCTGGAGGACATGCGGGCCTACCTGAAACACGCAGAATACAAGCTGCAGCACGGCGACTTGGCGGGCGGACTCGAAATGGTCGTCGCCGCCCTCGACGACATTTCCGCGCGCTTCGAAATGTTTCAAGTCGAAGACGCCTCCGACGACCGCGTTGCCAAGCGCTACAAAATGTACCTGCAGAAAAGCCTTCTCACTTCACGCCCGTTCAAGCAAGCCGTCGCGGACGTGGCTGCCATGGACCGAGCGGCGGGCGCTCACGCTCGCTCCCACCGCGGTGGAACCCATGGCGCCATGGCGTTCGCCCCAAAACGGGGCCCTCCAACCTCGGGCAATTTCGTGGTTCGTGTTTCCGCTGCGGCCAGCCAGGCCACGTTGCCAATGCCTGCCCTCGGAATGGGCACGGGGGCCAAGGACCCGCACCGGTTGTGTAGGGTTCGGGCTATGGCGAAGTGCGCCACTCGGCGCGATGCACGGTGCACTCTTGAGTGCTTAGACCGTGGGCAGCCTAGTAGGGCTTGCGGTGGCCATGGGCCAGCCCTAGGATAGGGTGGTAGAATTTGGCCATAGGCCTAGCTTTGGGGAAGAGGAAGAATGCCTCTCGGTCCCCTAGGATAGGGTAATAAAGTATGGCCGTAGGCCTAACCTTGGGGAAGAGGAAGAATGCCTCTCGGTCCCCCGGATGCCCCAATTGATAGGATGAGAAGCATGCTAGTAGGCATGACAATGCATGACCATGCGAGATATGGATTTTATTAAAGGCCCCCCTCTGGTTGCGAAGGATTACAAAAAAAAAAAAAAAAAAAAAAAGGGAGAACGCGAGGAGGAGAAGGGGGAGGGGGAAAACGGGCACATTCCTCCCTCAAACCGCCACCATGCATGGCAGGGATGGGCAGCCCTGGTTCAATATTTGGAAGACCAAAAAGGGAGAGAAGGAGCAAGAAGTACAAAAAAAAAAGGGAGAGAAAGGGGGGCATAGCAATGTCCCTAGCCCAAGCGAGTGCTCGCGCGGAAAGACACGAGCCCATGGCAAGCGAAGCATGCAAATGCTCAAACAATGATGGAAACACGCACAAAAAGAGAGGGAGAGAGAGAGAGAGAGAGAGAGAGTGTGTGTGTGTGTGTGTGTGTGTGAGAGAGAGAGAGAGAGAGAGAGAGAGAGAGAGAGAGAGAGAGAGAGAGAGAGAGAGAGAGAGAGAGAGAGAGAGAGAGAGAGAGAGAGAGAGAGAGAGAGAGAGAGAGAGAGAGAGAGAGAGAGAGAGAGAGAGAGAGAGTGAAGCATGATCGCGGTCCCAAGCATCATTCCTAGAGCAAGGTTCAAAAAAAAAAAAAATAGAGCATGGGAAAGAGTTTGCCAAGGTGCGATCGGACGCCCAATATGGAATGATGACAAACCGTTCGTATGGTTCTCACTGCTGACGGTTCATCTTTCGCGCATGCATGTATATGTCACACGCATTCACTAATTAAGGCGTGTAACTTGATTGGTCCCGTTCAATTCCTTGCCGTACAAACAGGAGCACAACAATACGAGGTGCCTCGCGACGAAGACCCGTACGAATTCGCCGTCACGGACAAAACCGTCACACGGATGTGCGGTCGGCTTCGCTCGACCTTTGCGTGGTGGAGCTCATGGTGCCCTTGCAGCCTTGTTCTATCCATAATCGCCAACGGTTACTGGCTTCCATGGAGCCACGGCCCACCACCGGCCTTCCGGGAGCGGAACCACGCCGGTGCATACGCGCATGCTACGTTCACACGTACTGCCATCCAAGAACTCACAGAGACCGGGGCTGCAGTCGAGACAGCCGCAAGCGAGCTTACGTGCATAAGCCCACTTAACGTGGTCGAGCAGAGAGAAAAATGTAGGCTCATCCTTGACCTGAGAAAAGTCAACGCAAACCTCATCGTTCCAAAATTCAAGTACGAAGGACTCAGCCGCGTGGCAGACGTCGCACGAGCTGGGGATTGGATGTTTTCTATCGATCTCAAATCCGGGTACCATCACATCGACATCCATCCCTCGTGCTGGAAGTTTCTCGGTTTCGGATTCGATGGGCGCACTTACTCCTTTCGTTCATTGCCGTTCGGTCTTGCGACAGCCCCATTCGTCTTCACGCAACTCATCAAGCAGCTAGCCCGTCGCTGGCGAGAGCAAGGCATTCGAGTAGTACCATACGTGGACGACATCTTATTCCTTTGCCAGTCAAAAGCCCACGCGCAGGCCACGTGCCACCGTGTGATACTGGACCTTAAAGCAGCGGGTTTGGTGATAAATGCAAAGAAATCACAACTGTCACCATCGCAACACCTTCGATTCTTGGGTGTGGAGCTAGACACGGTCACCGGCCGATTTACCATCGGTCCCGAACGACGAGCCTCACTTCATGCAACCATTCGGAACCTGTTGAGCGCAAGCAAGGCCTGTCGACCCGTCTCAGTTCGCCAAGTGGCCAGAATCACAGGCATGCTCGCGTCAATGGGCGTCGCGCTGGGTGCAACAGCTCGTGCCTTCAGCCACGCCATGCTACAAGTGATCAATGACGCACCTTCATGGAAAAGCAGCGTGATCATCCCCCCACCTGCGGCTGAGGAGCTAAACTTCTGGCTCGAAGAGTTTGATCGGTTCAACGGTGCGCCGTTTCACGTTCGAAACAGCTACGATGCTGTAATCCATGTGGACGCTAGCGCTCACAGTTGGGGCGCCACTTTGACCACCTTCCCTGGCGGCCTCGAAGAAGCCAGCGCAACAATGCCAGAGCCACTGCAAGCGACGTCCAGCACATACTCCAGCAAGATCAGACACAAACATGTTCTTGTGCGGGTGGACAATCAGGGCGTCTTCTTCATCCTTCGCAAAGGTGGCTCGCGCAGCCCCGACCTTACCACGGCCTGCCAAGCCATCATTCGGATATGCATGGAGCACGGCACGCGTCTAATCATCGAATGGATCCCACGCGAGCTAAACTCACACGCTGATGAGCTCTCAAAAGCAGTCGATCATGACGACTACTTGTTGAAGACGCCGTGGTTCCGCATCTTAGAACGACGTTGGGGTCCCCATTCCATCGACCTCTTTGCAAATCCCCGCAACTCTCAGCTGCCACGCTTCTGCACGAAAATTCCTCACCCACTAGCCACCGCAGTAGACGCATTTTCGCTCGCCTGGACAGCAGAAAATAGCTTTGCTTTCCCCCCGCCCCACTTAGTACCGGCCGTCCTCCATCACGCACAACGCACCCATGCATCGCTCACACTGATCATCCCACACTGGCCGGGTGCAAACTGGTGGCCACTCATACAACCTTCCCCACGAAACTGGGCACCGTACATCCACGCGCACATTCCCTTGACACACGGCAGCCAGTGCCTGGCAGCGGGAACACATTCCACTGCCTTTTCAG